CTCGAACCCACGGGCTCAGGCAATCCACTCACCTCAGCCTCCCAAGGCACAGGATTACAGGCTGAGCCACTGAGCCTGGCTGAGATTTTTTTTACACAGAGCAAAGTATTCTATAATCTAGAATAAAAACAATTATTTAAAAAAATAGTAGTTAAGGCTGGATGCGTTGGCTTATACCTGTAGTCCCAGCACTTTGGGAGGCTGAGGCAGGAGGATTGCTAGAGGCCAAGAGGTCAAGACCAGCCTGGGCAACATAGTAACACCCAGTTTCCAAAAAAAAATCAAAAAGTAAGCTGGGTGTGGTAGCACAAGACTGTAGTCCTAGCTACTCAAGAGACTGAGGCAGGAGGATTGCTTGAGTCTAGGAGTTAGAGACTGCAGTGAGCTATGACCATGCCACTGTACTCTAGCCCGGACAACAGAGTGAGACCCTATGTGTAAATTAAATAGATAGATAGATAGATAGATAGATAAAATAGTAGTTGGACTTATTAGGACAAAGCTGGGGAGGAGGTAAATTGGAAAGAATTAGGGGAAGGAAGGCAGGTATGTGTCCTATATCTTCTCACCTATTTCAGATGTATGATCGAGCGATCAGTGCCCCTACCAGCCCCACTCGCCTGGGCCATTCGGGGAAAAGGAGCTGGGAAGAACCAAACTGGATGGGCTCCCCCCGGTTGCTAAACAAGGACATGAAGACAGGCCTGAGCCGGTCCCTGCAGACCCTTCCCACTGACTCCTCAGCCTTTGACACAGGTGAAGGAGGCTATTACCTTACCCACCCCGCCCCGGGTCTTCCTCTGGATTTTCTGTTCTGCCTTCAGCAAACCTTTCTTGAGCACAAATGTGCCACACACCGTGCAAGCACTGCCCTTTGTGCCAAAGCCCTTTTCCTTTCTGGAGCTGAGGCAGCTGTGGACTGAGCAAGCATGGGAAGAGCTCATGTGCTTCTCTCTCTTGCCTTGGCAGATACATTCTGCCCTCCCCGGCCCAAGCCATTGGCCAGGAAGGGCCAGGTAGACTTGAAGAAGTCACGACTCCGCATGTCCCTGCAGGAGAAACTTCTTACTTACTACCGGAACCGGGCAGCCATCCCTGCTGGAGAGCAGGCTCGGGCCAAACAAGCTGCTGTGGACATATGTGCTGAGCTCCGGAGCTTCCTGCGGGCCAAGCTGCCTGACATGCCACTTCGGGACATGTACTTAAGTGGCAGCCTCTATGATGACCTGCAGGTAACCAGGTGGTTGTCACGAAGGGTGGGGTTCAATACTGACCACATGGTCCTCAGTAGTATCGTTAGTACAGAAGGTTAGCATCCCAGGTTTGCCTGAAAGCCCAAGGTCTTACAGCTTCTCAGTCCTGCACACTCAGCAGCATTTGGAGACCTGTACTTGTTATTCTTTGCTCTTGTATCTTCTTTAACCCTTTCTCAATTTTTAGTCACACAGCTTTTAGGAAGCTGTAAGAGGCCTCCTCCTTCCTATATTTATTCTCTCCTTTTTTTTAACTATATGGTGACATGAAAGAATTCTTGGTTTCCATGCTTGTTGGGGGAATGCAAGATGGTAGGACCTGTGTTTGGGAAGAATATTTCTTCAGCAGATTAAACCCCTTAAAACCTTTTTCTTTTTTTTTTTAACAAGATGGTTCTCACTATCACCTAGGCTGGAGGACAGTGGCATGATTATAGCTCACTGCAGCCTCGAATTCCTGGGCTCAAGTGACCCTCTTGCTTCAGCCTCCCAAGTATCTGGGACTACAGATTCGCCACCAAGCTTGGCTAATTTTATTTTTATTTTTTTAGAGATGGGGATCTCACTATGTTGCCCAGGTAGGTCTCAAACTTTCGGCCTCAACCAATCCTCCTTTCTCAGTCTCCCAAAATACTATGATTATAGGTGTGAGCCACCTAATCCAGCTTAAAATCTTTTTAATTCTGCTCTGACAGGTGGTGACAGCTGACCACATCCAACTTATTGTGCCACTTGTGCTGGAACAGAATCTATGGTCATGTATCCCTGGCGAGGACACCATCATGAATGTCCCTGGCTTCTTCCTGGTTCGTCGTGAGAATCCAGAGTACTTTCCTCGTGGTAGCAGTTACTGGGACCGCTGTGTAGTGGGGGGCTACCTCTCTCCAAAGACAGTGGCAGACACATTTGAGAAGGTAGTGGCTGGCTCCATCAATTGGCCAGCCATAGGGTCTCTCTTGGACTATGTGATCCGACCGGCACCACCCCCAGAGGCCCTGACACTGGAAGTACAGTATGAGCGGGACAAGCATCTTGTCATTGACTTTCTACCATCGGTGACCCTTGGTGACATAGTCTTGGTGGCCAGACCACATCGGCTAGCCCAGTATGACAACTTGTGGCGGCTGAGCTTGCGTCCTGCTGAGACGGCACGCCTGCGGGCTTTGGACCAAGCTGATTCGGGCTGCCGATCTCTGTGCCTCAAGATCCTTAAGGCCATATGCAAGTCCACTCCGGCTCTGGGCCACCTCACTGCCAGCCAGCTAACCAACGTCATCCTCCATTTGGCCCAGGAAGAGGCTGACTGGTCTCCAGATATGCTGGCCGACCGTTTCCTGCAGGCCCTGAGGGGACTCATCAGCTACTTAGAGGCCGGAGTCCTGCCTAGTGCCCTAAACCCCAAGGTGAACTTATTTGCAGAGCTCACCCCTGAAGAAATAGACGAATTGGGATACACTCTCTATTGCTCATTGTCTGAGCCGGAGGTGCTGCTGCAGACGTAGGGCAGGTGAAGGCCAATGCAGGTGTTGGGTGGTCAGGCCCTGGATTCTCCATTGGCTGCATAGTTGGTGCCTCACAGGGTCCTTAGGTGCCTCCTGTCTTGCTAATCATTGCCCTGGTCACTTCATGCTGATTAGAATATCTCTTCAGTCTCCTATTTTCTCACTCAACTCTTTCTATTTTTGTTACCAAACACTGTGCTCTCTGCTCCCCTGATTTTTCTGGAATGAGTTAAGAAGGTGGAGTGCTGGCCTGACCTTGGTGATTTGCATTTTGACCCAGGTTTCCTGCCTCTTTCTGGTCTGCCTTGCCCTTTTGCCTGTTCCTATTCAGTGTCTTTTCTATCTTTTCCTCTCTTGTTCACGCCCTCTGTTTTTCTCTTGTCCCTGTAGCATATCTGCCTAATTGAGATGTTGCCTTTCAGTTGAATGTCACTGAAGAGCTATGATTGCATGTTTCTAAGATGAACTCTGCAGAGTGAGTGCTGAAACAGTATTTGGGGTTTCTGGAGGTGAGGCTAGTAGAAGAGCTAGAGAAGTTCATCCCCCTGACACCCCTCTGAACACCAACTTCCATTCCTAAGTGCTGAGAACATCTTTCATGGGAACACTGTGATTGACCCACACAGTATAAACTAGATGCGAAGGTATTTGGAGATTGTGTTTCTTAGTGGCCATCTGCAAGAGTGCAGGATGGGGAACTGGAGCTGGTGAAGAGGCTGGTGAATGGTTTGTGTGCCTAGTGTCTACACTTTGTCTGTGGCTGCAGGATTTGGACAGACAAGGAAGGGAAGAGGGCTGCAAGGATAACACCTCACCATGCATACTGTTTTTCTTCCTTTTTCTTGTTATTGCCAGTTAGGACAAGGCCTTGAGGGAACACAGCCTTAACAGTCAGTAGAGGTTGAGGGAGGCTGACAGGAAGCCAGATGTCAGCTGGAAGATACTGTCACCAGTTTGGGCTTGGTGGCCACGTTTTCTCGCCTGACAGGCCCTGCGTTTCTAGGAAGTTGCCTTAGAGCAAGAACAGGTTCAACGGCCATAGGAACATGAGATGGGTGTTTGCAGAGTTCTCCAGGCACTGCCAGAGAACAAAGGGCAAGTGAACATGCACAGACCTCCCCTCCTCATCCTGTCTCTCACTGAGCACCTGGGGAAATCCGTGCTACCTAGGAAGAGGGAGCACACAGATAAAACATGAGAGGGAGGTGGGTACTTCTATGTTCCTTGTTTCCCACTGCTAAAATGGCACTATTTATCGCAATGTGAGTGTATCCTGAGGGTGGGGAAAAATGTTTAATACACCATGTCAGTGTGTCTTATTTTGTGTTTTCCATTTGTGGCAAGGGGCTGGTGATTATATTTTTTCATCTGCCCATCCAGTATTTTGTTCTCCTCCCATCGAGTCATCTTATTTTTTTCTATTTTTACTACCTCTCCATCAGTGAGATTCTGGTGAAACTCTGCAACTGTCTCACTCCTTCCCAATAACAGTGACAGGAAATGACTCTTTAAATAGCATTGACACCTCCCAACCCTCTGAATTTAGGGTAGAGATTCCTGGCTCCCTTTTGTCCTAGATTAGGAGGTTGAGAACTAGGGTTAACCTTGACTATATTTTGAGATCTTTCTTCTTCTTCTCCCATAAGATGCCTTAAGGTAGGCCGGGCTCGGTGGCTCAACCTGTAATCCCAGCACTTTGGGAGGCCAAGGTGAGTGAATTGCCTGAGCCTGTGGGTTTGAGACCTGCCTGGGCAACTTGGCGAGACCTCATCTCTACAATAAATCAAAAATTAGCCTGGCATGGTAGCATGCCCCTGTAATTCCGGCTATTCGGAAGGCTGAGGTGGATGGATCACCGGAGCCCAGCAGGTTGAGGCTACGGTGGCTTGGAGTGGCCACTGCACTCCAGTCTGAGCAACAGAGTGAGACTCCAACTCAAAAAAAAAAAATTCCTTAAGGTAGTTCAGTGGTTTCATTCGTATTAAGATATTGGGAGGTAATGAAAAAGATAAAGCTGGGAACCTTGAGAGAATCTCTACCCTGGCAGTTCATCAGAATCTGATATGAGTTTTTAAAAAATATATGCCTGAGTAGTACCGTGGGTGAATGGTGTAGAGGGGTCTGGGGTGGAGCCTGATGTTGAGAGTTCCATCTGGGGTCCATTAGAGGGAAGGGAGAAGAGAGGATTGATAGAATGTTGCAGAAGTATAAAATTATTCTTTACTGATAAAGGATTTGGTTTCCCTGTTGGGAATAACTTGGGAAAACAAGCTGGTATCTCTAACCAACTTCCACATAAAACATTGGAAGAAGAACTCAAAAAAGAAAAGATATTAAAGACCCCTAGAATTTTAAAGAGTCCCAAGTTATTTAAGCCAAATATAACTGTGGTTTTAGAAAGGGGAATGAGTTTATCACCTCTTTTAAAAAGTGTCTTTCTAAGAGCATCTCTGACTTTTAACTACATTTCACAAAACCACAACTTTGCCATTTTACAAGCAAGAACTCCTTAGAAGTCCTTAGAACTGAAGCAGTGGGACTCAACCCTCTTCCTGGTCGGTTTGCTGACCATGACTGGGCAAGCCATTCTTTTTGCTACCATTTTCCTCATCACAAAATGTGAGTGTTTTGAGATTCTTGGATGGAAGAATTGCCTTGGTGCCACATTCTGCATTCACTCCCCTTTTTAACCTTTGGGTAACGATGCAGTGGCTTCCTCTGCCACTCTGCCTTCCTGTTGAGTAACTCCCACTGTTGCCTGCAGTGATAGCATCTGCTCCTCCTCCACCTGAAGGTTTTTCAGTCTCCATCTTAGGTTAGCAAACTGCATACTTAACTTATTGCTTAAAAAATACACTCAGTATTATCTTAAACCTAATACATTCCAATGTTTATTTTGGTTCTTCCCCGTTGCCCCTTCCTAAAATATGAATTCAAGACAACAGTATTTTTCCTTACATGCTTGGTTGTGACTTTAAAAAAAAAAATAAAGGAAAGAAATATTGAAGCTTGAGTTTGGAAAAGTTGTTGAGGAGCCCTACGGCCTACTGGGTCCAGCCCTGGTAGGCCTCCTGTTCACAATCCAGATGAGCAGACTGTGCTCCCTTGTACTCCATTCAGGCGGAGCGTTCAGATGGTCTTGATGAGGACTCACCTCCAGGATGGAAGGACCCTGGGGAAGGCCTGAGGGGGTCCTGGCAATAGGGATTCCTGCATGTCTGCAGCTCTCTGCCATGGTACTTCCTTGGGACTCCGACTTGGCTGAGAACTTCTGATTTGTTGGGACTCTGCCCTTTTGCCTGAAGCTCAAGGCCAAGGAGAATGGTAAGAGACTTAGCACTAGAGCTGCCCCCCTGCACCAGGCTGGGAGGCTGTAGCCCTTTTAGATTCTGCTTGCTCTAAGTAGACAGGATACCATACAGATGGGTTCTGTGGTCAACTGTGCACTGAGTGGTCGCCTTTTCATTTTGAGCATCTTGTAGTCTTTAGATTCTTGGTCCCTGAGCCAAGCCCACAACTTGCCTTCTGGTCACTTGCCTGCCCCCCAGTGGTGGTTGATGTGTTAGCTGGTAAATTTGGAATCAGTCACCAGTCTTTCTGTCCTGTCTTGGCTAAGTCTATATAGGAGCAGCTTAGCCCTGAGACCCAGAGAACTGCTGTTCTTTTTCCCTTCAGGGAGGAAGTAAAACTGGGGATTACAATGCCCTTGCACAGCATGGGAAGAAGAAAATAAAACTCTCCTTTCCAACAGCTTTGCCTTTGTGTGTGTTGTGACTGTGTTCCTACAGGAGTGTGCCGGCTCTCCATTGTCAGCCAGGGGAACCTTTGAAGCTGACCTAGGTCTCCATAAGAGAATGGATGGGACAAGCTGCCACTAGCGTTGTTCTTCCATGACCTCTTCAGTGTCAAAACTGGGGCAGTGTTACTTTCTTTAACTCTCAACTATTTGCATGGTTATCTGTCACAAGGCATTGACAAGTCTCTTGACACAGCAAAAGGAGAACATGCCTCAGGGGCCCTTAGTTACTCCTCAGGAAACATGGATAACTGCTCAAGGATTCTTCCTGCCTTTGCACTCAAAGGCTAGATGACTTTTTTCTTTCTGTCTCTCTCTCTCAAGAGACAAGGTCTTACTCTTGCCCAGGCTGGCGTATAGTGGTGCAGTCATAGCTCTGCCTTAGCTTCCTGAGTAACTGGGCTACAGGCATTAGCCCCTGCACCTGGCAAAAACTTCTGTATATCTCAACACGCATGCTTCCCCAAGGAGACAGAAAAAAAATACTTTTATTCCTGCATCCAATAGGCCTTGTGTATACCAGTTGTTTTATAGTTATTGGTTTCATCTCAGTAAATGCTAGTGAAGAGTTCTCTGAAGAAGTAGGATGATGCAACGGAGATAAGGGCTGGGGGATTGGGAGGTCAGGATCAGGAGACCAGAGTTCTCACAATGGTAGTAGCATAGCAACCATTTATTGGGCACTTCCTTGTACCAGGCACTGTGCTAAGTGCTTTACATAGATGGTTTCACTTCACTCTTAGGGCAAGGATACTCATCACTATCTTTATTTTATAGATGAAGAAACTGAGGCTCAGAAGGTAAGTCACTCAACCAAAATATCCCAGCTAATAAATGATAGTGCCAGGATTCTTTCAGGTTTGCTCACCAAATCTGTCTTCGGTTTTTGTTTTTTGAGACAGGGTCTAGCTCTCTTGTCAGGGCTTGGGTGCAGATTGATCATGGCTCAATACAGCCTTGAACTCCTTGGTTCAAGCAATCTTTCTGCTTCGGCCTCCCAAGTAGTTGGGACTACAGGTGCATGCTACTACTCCCTGCTAATTTTTAAAAATTTTATACAGATGAGGTCTTGCTTTACAGGGCCTATGGGAGCTGTTAGGAGGCTGATGGAGGGGTTTCTCACACCCCTAAATCAACTAGCCCTCACTTTGAGAGGCCGAGGTGAGCGGATTGCCTGAGCTCAAAGGTGCGAGAACAGCCTGGGCTATTTGGTGAGACCTTTACAATAAATCAAAAATTACCTGGGCATAGTAGCGTGCACCTGTAGTTCTGGCTACTTAGAAGGCTGAGGCAGAAGGCTCGCTGGATCCCGCAGGCCGCTGTTGGGGTGGCTGTGAGCCTGCCACTGCACTCCAGCCTGGGTGATGGAGTGAGACTCCAACTCAAAACAAAACAAAAAACAGCTGGCCCTGCCCAGGACTGCTTTCTGACACACCAGCCTCTAACAAGTGGAGGTTGGCTCAAGTTTCTGACCCGAGGATCGTTAGGATGACCTGGGAAGCTGGTTAGGATTGGGAGTTACTCAAAACCACCCTAGAGAGATGCCATTTGATTACTGTCTTGTTCTTAGGGGAACTGAGCCCTCCATAAACCAAAAGAAGTTCCTCCACAGTGACTGCATCTTTTTTTTTTTGTTTTTTGAGTTGGACTCTCACTCCATTGCCCAGGCTGGAGTACAGTGGCACGCTCACCGCCACGGCAGCCTCGACCTCCTGGGCTTAGGCCATCCTTCCGCCTCAACCTTCCAAGTAGCTAGAGCTACAGACACACACCACCACACCCGGCTGGTTTTTTTGTGGTTTCCTCTCGCCTCGGCCTCCAAAAGTGCTGGGATTACAGGTCGAGCCCCTGCGCGCGGTCAGACTGCATTTTTAATAAAATAACACACTCGTATTTCGTATTTTTTTTGTAAAAATACAGTATGGGCGCCAAGATTGTGTATCTTTCCTGACTCGACCTTCATATGCAGCTTGCTGGCCGGTGGGCAGGGCGGGGGCCCTCCCAGCCACGCTCCCCGGGCCTCCTGGGGGCAACTGGCTGTCACAGGTATTTGCGAGGGCCAGGTCAACCGCGGCCGCTGGCTCGCTAGGCCCTCCCAGGTCGGGTCAGCTCGGTGCGCGCAGGAGGACGCAGGAGGGGGAAGCGAGAAGCGCGGGCCTGGACGTGCCGGTGCCCATTTCGGGGCTTCCTGGAGGGAGACAGGCAGGAAAGGACCGCAGGGGCCGCGCCCGAGATCACTAGTTGGGGCGCGCTGGGCCAGAGCTAACCAAGGGCACGAGCTTGCGCGGCCGCGGCCGGCCAGCAGGCGACCCGGGTTGGGGAAGCCACGCGGCGGAGGCGTCTCAAAAAGCAAGCAGCAGACGAAAACAGGCAGTGAGACCCGAGCCAGTGGTCCGCCCCTTGCCGCGTGGACCCGACGCTCCCTCACCAAGCAGCCCGCCTAGGCCCCGAGCCAATAGGAGCTCGAGGTATGTATGACTCACCGCGCCTGGGCCAATCAGCTCGACGCGCGCTTTCGGCCGGCACCTCGCGCGATAACCTGGCGGCTCGTTCTTCACAATAGAAACCTTCCTTAGGGGTGAGCGATTTCTTTCCCCGTTCCCTCCGCCCCGCCCCCGCCCTCTGAGAGATCCCTCCGCTCTCCCCGGCGGCAAAGGGAAGAGCGTGACTCTTTGATCTTAGAAGCCTTGTAAAGTAGTACGCTTTTTTCCTCCCATGAGGCCTTGAAAATAAGTTCCTTTTCCCTTCACAGCTACGCCCCAGATATACAGTTAGTAGGCACCGCGGATACAAGCAATGTGGGCGTCCAAGAGGAAAACGAATGGGCGGGCGACGAGGGTCACGTGGCTGCGGCGGAAGGATGCGTAGTGATGCGTCTCCGTAGAGGGAAGTCTATAAAGGACCGGCGTCGGACGCACTGCCGCCATTTCTTCCGCTCCCGCACGTAGATGTAGTTTCTTCGGCGAGCGCGTGCCTTCCTTCTCCCCTCCCGCAGGGTCCGCGGCCACCATGGCGTATTAGTGGCAGCAGTGCCTGCGGCAGCGTTGGCCTTTGCAGCGGCGGCAGCAGCACCAGGCTCTGCAGCGGCACCCCCCAGCGGCTTAAGCCATGGCGTGAGTAGTGGGGCCGAGCCCCCCTGGCTGTGCGGCTGGGTCAGCGGGGGGTTTCGGCTTGGCTGGGCGCGGCCTGGCGCCGGGCGGCGTCGCCGAGGGGGAAGCGGTTTTATGAGCGCCTGGGACGCGTGGCCTCTGTTTGGACGTTCCCGGGACGCCGGCGCTCCTGTTTCTGTCGGGGAAAAGCAGCCTGGCGGGGGAGGTTATTGTTGGTGACCCCGCCGCCCTCGGTCCCCGAGCCCACCTAGGGCCTCGGCTGTCACCCCATGAAACGTGGCAGGAGCCAAGATGGCGGCCGCAGGGCGGCGGCTGCGGCTGCGGGGCGTGAGTCACGGGCGGGCGGTGGGCGGGGCGCGGCGGCCCTGGCCGTATTTGGACGCGAAGACGGAGCCTTCTTTTCGGTGGCCTGTTAGGGAAGGGCCGGGTCTCCGTGGGCGTCCATTTTGTGCAATCCGAGCAGGAAGCAGGGCAGGTCGATACAGAGGCCTTGGGGTCCCCGATTCTCCACAATTAGTAGATTTCCGATTCGGTCGTCCTGCTTCGGGGGCTTCAAGATGGAATTCTCTGGCCGTATGACCGCTGATGGGACGTGGCCTCTGATTTCTCTTCAGGCTTCTCACGGCATCCAGCAGCAGCGTTGCTGTAACCGACAAAGACATCTTCGAATTAAGCACATTCCTCGATTCCATCAAAGCCCCACGACATGACCGAGATGAGCTTCCTGAGCAGCGAGGTGTTGGCGGGGGACTTCGTGTCCCCCTTCGACCAGTCGGGCTTGGGGGCTGAAGAAAGTCTAGGTCTCTTAGATGACTACCTGGAGGTGGCCAAGCACTTCAAACCTCATGGGTTCTCCAGCGACAAGGCTAAGGCGGGCTCCTCCGAGTGGCTGGCTGTGGATGGGTTGGTCAGTGCCTCCAACAACGGCAAGGGTGAGTGGACCACATGTGTGAGCGTGGGTCCTCTCTGGGTGCGGTCTGGTGTGTCTTGCTGCCTTGCGTGTGGCTCATTTGGCTCCATCCTTACCTCTTTTGCAGAGGATGCCTTCTCCGGGACAGATTGGATGTTGGAGAAAATGGATCTGAACGAGTTTGATTTTGATTCCCTGTTGGCTATAGATGACCTGGAAACCATGCCAGAAGAGCTTTTGGCCACGTTCGATGATACCTGTGACCTCTTTGCCCCCCTAGTCCAGGAGACTATGAAGGATCCCCCTCAGACAGTGAACCCAATTGGCCATCTCCCAGAAAGTGTAACAAAAGCAGACCAGGTTGCCCCCTTCACCTTCCTGCAGCCTCTTCCCCTTTCTTCTGGGGTCCTGTCCTCCACTCCAGATCATTCCTTTAGTTTAGACCTGGGCAGCGAAGTGGATATCTCTGAAGGAGATAAGAAGCCAGATTCTACTGCCTATATCATTCTGATCCCTCAGTGTGTAAAAGAGGAAGACGCTCCCTCAGATAATGACAGTGGCATCTGTATGAGCCCTGAGTCCTCCCCAGGGTCTCCCCAGCATAGCCCCTCTGTCCCTGGTGGCTCTCCAAACAGGAGCCTGCCATCTCCAGGTGCCCTCTGTGGCTCTGCCCGTCCCAAACCATATGACCCTCCTGGAGAAAAAGCAGTAGCAGCAAAAGTAAAGGGTGAGAAGCTAGATAAGAAGTTGAAAAAAATGGAGCAGAACAAGACAGCAGCCACTAGGTACCGCCAGAAGAAGAGGGCAGAGCAGGAGGCCCTCACTGGTGAGTGCAGAGAGCTGGAAAAGAAGAACGAGGCTCTGAAAGAGAGGGCAGATTCCTTGGCCAAGGAGATCCAATACCTGAAAGATTTGATAGAAGAGGTCCGCAGGGCAAGGGGGAAGAAAAGGGTCCCCTAGTTACGGTAGTCAGGAGTATTGTGTGCTTGTACATAGGAGTTTTGCGCTGAAGCTTTGTGTTGTAATAAATTATTTTGTAGTGAAAGTACATTTGCAGGTTTGGCTGTTTGTTCCCTCTGGTAAATGACCCAATCTGCCTGGATTCTTGACTCGCCATGTGAGGGGGCGTGGGTTCCACTGAGGTAGGGCAACTAGCACAGGTTAGACATGCATTTCCCTTAAGTAGATTTTAGGAAGTGCTTTGGCTTCTAATTGAGTAGGAGTCTCTCCAGGCTGGAGTGCAGTGGCATGCGATGACTGCTGCAGCCTTGAAATCCACCTCTAAGTAGCTGGAACCACAGACATGTACCACCATGCCTGGCTAATTTTTGTTTCTTGTTTTTTGTTTTTTTGTGTGTCGGGAGTCCCACTCTTGCCCAGGCTGGAATGCAGCAGTGGCTTGCTCATGGCTACTGCAGCCTTGACCTGCTGGGATTACAGGCTTGAGTCACAGTGCCCAGCCAAGTGTGATTTATTGTAGACAGGTTTCATCAAGTTGCCCAGGCTGGTCTTGGGCAATCCTCTCACTTCTGCCTCCCAAAGTGCTGGGATTATAGGCATGAGCCACCGCCCTGCTTAGACATTTTTAAAATTACATTTTACTGCCAGCCAAGCTTCAGCCTACCCCACCCGGCACAAATAATGGCTTCTGTTGGAAGCTCAAGGCGGGAGTAGGGTCAAATGGCAGTAGCTGCCTGGGCTAGGGAGGAATCTGCATGATAGGGAGAGAGGGACGGCCTGGGCCACACCTGTCTAGGTGGCTTGGTGCCGATGTCTCATGTAAATCCCTGGATTTGGTGCACAAGATTAGGCTGCTATAGGCCCTCTTACAGAAGGAGAAATGGCTCCTTTTGAGAAGTGGGAGAACTCAGGAGCTGGGGTGTAAGAATGACCACCTGCACAGGCTCTGGCTAGAGTTGGGCCCAAAGGTTAACGGGTGGAGCTCACGTGAAGGCGAGTGGGGCTGTCCTGGAGAACCACACAGCCTTACTGCAATCCTGGACATCTGGCTGGGTGAGTGCCTTCCTGTTTGAGGGTGAGATAAAGCAGACAGTTCCTTTTGTCTTGGGTTGTGGGTGAATGGTTGAATGCAAGAATCAGCCCAGCCTGGACAGTCTGCTCACCCCCACCTTGTGTCCTTTGGGATCAGTGGAGTTTTTCTTTTAGCAAGGAAGGTGGTACAGATACATTAAAGCATGCCCAGGGAGTGGCTGGGAGGAGAACCAAGGTGAGTGCCACTTACTGTTCTCTCACTCAGTACCCGCAACAAGCCTGTGGCCAGGCACCACAGTGGACCTGTCCTGTGGGTCAGGAGACAGGTACATGAGGATCTGGAAAAACAAGATTTGAAACTAGGGTTCTGTCTCTGGAGTCTGGGCTCTTGTCTCTTGAGCCTGGAAACAAGTGGCCTGTTAAGGCCTGCCTTGTGGGGCCCAGGTGCCCTGCTACAGATGACACCTGAGAGCCAACTGTTGGAGTGAATACCAGGCATTACTCAAGGGCCTCCTCAGACCTGGTGATCTGTGTCTTTCCTGCTGAGATTCTAGAGTTCTTCAGAGGCCACCGGCCTCCCTTCACACATCCAGGTACCATCTAGGTGTTAGAGCATGGCTGTCAGTCCCAGACAGCCCCAATGCCAGTTTGGAGTGGTCCTTGGAGGGCCCATTGGGCAGACAGGAAATGGAGGCACAATGCTGGGGGCTGCGCCCTTCCCAGGACCCTGCTGCCAAGTCCTAGACCTAGAAGGCACCAGCAGAGCCCATGGCCTTTGCCTTCCTGGGCCTTCCCCCCCCAATCCTTCACCTGCTCTAGGCCTTTCTCCACCTCTCTGCCAAGCTGCTTCCTGCCGCAGACCCATCAGGCCCACAGACCTGCTCTTCCTCTGCCTGAGAGATGTCTCCTGGCCGCCTCCCTCTCGGCAGCCTGACACTACTGCATGGACATTCCAAGATGGCCCTGCTCATGTCCCAGACTTTTGCTTTCCCATTTTATTTTTTCATAACTCTTTTTCCAGTTGTGCTTATGTCTACGGGCTTGTTTTCTATTTTTCTTTTTTTTTTTTTTTTTGAGTTGGAGTCTCACTGTTGCCTAGACTGGAGTGCAGTGGCCGCTCCCGGCCACCGCAGCCTCACCTGCTGGGCTCCAGTGATCCTTCCGCCTCAGCCTTCCGAGTAGCCAGAATTACAGGCATGCACTACCAAGCCCGGCTGATTTTTTTATTTACTGTAGAGATGAGGTCTCGAACCCGCGGGCTCAGGCAATCCACTCACCTCAGCCTCCCAAAGGTGCGGGATTACAGGCTGAGCCACCGAACCCGGCTTGTTTTCTATTTTTCATTCCCCAACTACCATGTAAGATCTATGACAGCAGGTATGTCTTGTGCATTCCTACATTTTCAGAACAACTGTGCCTGATAAATGATAAAGACCACAGCTAATATGTACTAAGAGTTCTGAGTGCTTTCTGGTGATTAGCTAGTAATCCTTGTTAGGGTTATAAGGAGGGGGTTCATTATACATAACAGGGGCTCAAAAATGTATACACATTTTGAGATGTTTGCCATAATCAGAAATGTCTGGACAGCAATGGTAACCACTTTGAGCACCTCTTGTAATTGCAAAAGTCAAATGTAACTTGTATTCATCTTTTGTTATCAGTATATATTGAGTATTACAATTTTAATAGATTTTTCCTTTCATAAAATGTGTATACTTTTTTTGGCACCTTCTGATATGTGGGGCTTTTTGTTTTGTTTTTTGAGTCAGGGTCTCATTCAGGCTCTGGAGTGCAGTGGTATTCATGGTTCACCACAACCTTGAACTTCTAGACTCAAGCAATCCTGCCTCAGCCTTCCCAGTAGCTGGGACTACAGGGACATGTTACCATGCTCAGCTAATTTTTAAAATTTTTTTGTAGAGACAGGGTCTTGCTATGCTGCCCAGGCTGGTCTTGAACTCCTATGCTCAAGCAATCCTCCTATCTCGGCCTCCTCCCAAACTGCTGGAATCACTGGCGTGAGCCACTATACCCGGCTGGAGGAGTTTATAATCTTACCTTTTCACAGATGCAGCTGAGGCCCAGACTCAGGAACCCCCATGGAAAATCTGGCTTAGGGGTGGATGCTGGCCCAGGAGCAGCTGGTACAGGCAATGTGCCGTGGGTTGATGGCCCGTGGTGGAGCCTGCAGCTGGGCCCCAGTGGGGCCCCAAGTGGCAGTGCTGTCCCACTTCTGCCTGGCTCCATTCGCAGGAAAATGGGCCAGGGAATAGGTCAGGGAAGCTCCAGCAGCCCATCCTACTGTAGGAGACGCAGGAAGCCTTGGCTGGGTCCCTGTCCTGGGTTACAGTGTAGGTTCCTCAAACTGCTCAGTAGGACCCAAATCTGTACCTCTCCAAACCACCTGAGACACATGCTTCCAGGTGCTTTCATGTCCATCTATGATATCTTTTTTTTTTTCAGTCAACACCCAAGCTGGAGTGTAGTGGCACACTAACGACCACCACAGTCTCAACCTGCTGGGCTTGTAATTCTACTTCAGCCTTCCAAATAGCTGGAACCACAGGTATGTGCCACCACACCCTGCTAACTTGGATTTATTGTAGAGATGAGGTCTTGCCAAGTTGCCCAGGCTGATCTCGAACCCCTGGGCTCAGGCAATCCTCTCATCTCTGCCTCCCAAAGTGCAGGGATTACAGGCATGAGCCACTGTGCGTGGCTATCCACGATGTCTTAATTGGGAAGGAGGTCCTGCTTTGTTCTTTTAGCCCTGGTTTCAAATTGACAACCTGTCTTATCTGGGCCGTTGGTCACCAGGTCCTGGTGTTCATGGTCAGCACCTCTCACCCCCATGGTGACATATCCTCTTCCCTTGGCACTTTCCCTAGCTCCTTGTTGCCTTCTGGCCACTTGCAGCAGAGTTGCCCAGGGTGACTGTTCAAGATACAGATTTCTGAGTCCTATCCCTGACCTAGTGGAATCCCAGGATCGAACACTAACATCCGTCTCACAGAGGGGGGCATAGACATACACCCATGTGTGCTACCTGGCATAAGATTTACTGGAAAACTGACAAGTAGGGGAGTTGCAGGACCCCTGCCCATGCCCCCCAGGAGGGTGTGCCTGTCACTCCCTGCTCGGGGAAGGGGCAGGACACCTAGATGATCATGCCATAACAGGTCTGTCTTTGTTAGAGAGGGGCCTGTGGTTAGCCTGTTCCCAGGCACTAGTGGCTGATCGGCTGCTCACTAAGCTGCTTAAGGATGAAGGGTCCAAGTCTCCAAGGATCTCCCAGCAGGTCTCTCCTGAGTGGGGTCACCATAGCCCAGCAGGTGGAGTGAACTTGATCAGCCCATTTGAGGATACCCCCTCTCCTCCCTGGATGATAGAGGCCTCTGGAGACAGGACCCTGATACCACCTCTGCCTCTGGCAGTTCTGTGGTCTCTCTTGTCCCCACTTGGTGGACACTAGTTAAAGACAAGGGACAGCACCTGGAGCAGTGGGGGGAGTAAGCCCCCTCTCCCCCAAGCACGATAATCCCATCAGGGGACCTGTTGGGGTATTGGCAGGTTGTCACTCCCCAGCCTCAGGGAACCCACCCATGCCCTCTACCAGGAGCCATGGGTGCTGCCACATTCTAAGGAGCCCTTAGGCTAGGGGAGGGGATTGAGTTCAGGAGACAAATGGAGGCACCTCAAGGATTCCAGGGTCCCTTCCCTTCTGACTTCTCATCTCTTCTCCACTGAAGACCAGTTCTGGCGTGCATTCACTCAGAAAGTCACTTCATAGGTACTTCCTTCGCCTCCTTGGTCCCCACTGTGCCTGCTAGGAAGGGTCCAGCCTGTCTTTCCGTGGCGGTGCCTCCCCGTGGCAGAGCCTTCCCATGGTGGTACAGCCACAGCTCTCACCACCATCCTTCTGCTCGGGCACAGACCTGAGTGTGAAACTGTTTCTTGAGGTTACCACCTGAGACTCCCCCCACTACTCTTCCCCCACTGCGTGACATAGGCATTTGACCTGGCAGCTTGCCAGAGCATTGAGGGGGACTTGGGAGGGCAGAGGCAGCACCACTCCTAGTGTTCCTAGACCTTGGGATATGCTCCCCTGGGACAAACCCCCAACAGCTATGTCTGCCTCAAGGGCCACCTTCTCAGCTAGTTACCTCTGAAGTATGTCAGCAGAGGCTGAGCAAACAGCTTTCTGGGTGGTCGCCTCCTGGGGCTGGACTGGAGGACTTCTGACTTGGAGCTCCAAGACCCACCCATGCCAGGAGCTGGATCAGCAGCACACACAGCTCCTGGGTCCACATTTATTAGAACCAGAAGTCACCCAGAAACCTTCCTACTCCTGGAGGAAGTAGGAAGTATAGTCCCCAAGGGCCCAGAAACCGGCCTTGTTCTACAGCAAACAGCCAGAGGCACCACCTGGGCAAAAGCAAACAAACAGAAATGTTCCTGTCTGGCAGGTGCAGATGGCTCCTTCCAAGCCGGCAGTAGCCAGCTCCAGTCTGAGTAAATCCTCTCCAGGACTTCCAGCTCACCAGCTCCACTCCAGCGTCCACCCGGCTCCAGCCCCAGGGCTTCCGCAAGCCAGGCCATCTTCCTTGGGAATATGAGCTGCAGGGGTCGGGGCCTGGGGCCAGCAGAGGTAGCTAGAGCCTCTTCCACTGTGTCCTCCAGGGAGCCTAGTTGCCGAAGTATTCCTGCTGGAACTTCTGGAAGTCTTCCTCGGTGAACACAGTGCCCTCAGCCTTCTTCTTCTTAGTCTTGGTCACAGGTCGGTCACAGGCCTTTCGGCCTCGGTTCTGGCGCAGAATCTGCAAGAGTGGAGGGAAGGCACGTTGTTTCCAGTAATGGAAAAGCAAACGGAGACCCTCAAAGGCCACAGGGGAGTACGGCACAGGGCACAGCTGGACTGACTTCCACCCCACCTGTCCTTCAGGGGTGGGCCCATTCTGCCCTACACTCACAGCTGAGACGCCCATGGATCCCAGGGAACAACCTCAGCCATCACCCCCAGGTCCCTTCCAGAGTGCACCCCCACACCCCCCAACACACCTGCCGAGTCACAGGCTCAGCCACAGCACTTCTCGCACTGGTCATGAACTTCAAATTTACTTGGAGGTGGTTTCGACACTCCCGCTTCTGATACTCGGCTGTGGGTGACAGGCAGGGAGCATGGTTTCAGATTCACTTCCAGGAAGCCTTCTGGATCCCCACTGGTGGCACTGCCAAAGGCCCCACTGTCCCTTCCCTAGATTATGGCAACAGCCTGGACTCCTCTCCATCAAACGCACACTCCACATAGATCCTGCTGAAAGCCCCCTTGACTCCCAGCCACTGTGTGACTTACTCACTTACTCAACAAATATGTCCTGTATACTCCTGTGTGTCAGGTGCTTTTCTAGGTGCTGGGCATGCGGCAGGACACGGAATCGGAACATGTTCCTACCCCCTGCAGCTTACATTTCAGTGGGACCAGATGAAACAAAGTAAACTATTTTTATGGAGAAAACCAGAATAGGGGAATGCTAAGGTAGAGGGTTGCAATTTTTTTTTGAGTTGGGGTCTCACTGTGTCACCCAGACTGGAGTGCAGTGGCTGCTCCCGGCCACCGCAGACTCAACCTGCTGGGCTCTGGCGATCCTTCCGCCTCAGCCTTCCAAGTAGCTGGAACTACAGGCATGTGCTACCACGCCTGGCTGATTTTTGATTTATTGTAGAGATGAAGTCTCGCCAAGTTGCCTGGGCAGGTCTCGAACCCGCGGGCTCAGGCAATTCACTCATCTCAGCCTCCCAAAGCGCTGGGATTACAGACTGAGCCACCGAACCTGGCTAGGGGGTTGCAATTTTTAATAAGAGGATTCAAGATCTCACTGAAATGACAAGTGAGCAAAGACTTGAAGATGAGAACTGTGGATATCTGGGTGAAGGGCATCTGTCGAGGTAGAGGGAACAGCCTGTGCAAAGGCCCTAAAGCAGAATTGTGACAAATGTGTTTGAAGAACAGAAAATGGCTGAGTGGGGAGGGATGGAGCAGGAAGAGATGCAGTTTGGGTGGGGGACAGATCACGAGGGGCCTCATTAGGCATTATAAGAACTCCGGCTTTGACTGGGCTCGGTGGCTCAGCCTGTAATCCCAGTACTTTGGGAGGCCGAGGCAAGTGGATTGCCTGAGCCCGCAGGTTCAAGACC